AAACTAAAAACTAAATTTTACAAAACTGTTAATAATAATTTTTAAGATTAATCCTGCTTTTTAAATCGTAATAAATTAAGTAAATCTATTATATAAAATCCTAAATGACTTATAAAAGAATGGTGTGTTAAATAAATTTTCTTTAAATTAATGATATCACTCTTTATTATGATCTCTTAATTGTGCTCTCTAATCACTTTTAGATTATCAATTAAATGTAGCATCATTTAAATCAATATAAATATTATTTGATAACAGTTTTATGAAATTAAAATAAATAATCCCTACACTTGATTGGCCCTAGTATTTAATGATATTAAAATTAATGATGTGTATAAATGGGAATATGAATAAAACTTTGGATAACATATCATTACTTATCTAATAAGTTAAGATAATGAGCAGACTGATAAAGAAATAGTTAAAAAATATTAGATATTGATTGTAATAATAATTATAATTTTAATTGTAGTTGTTAATAATCAAAATCACTTTTTCTACAAGTCTTCTAAAAAAGAACATCCTTTTGATTTGAATAAAGGTTTTAAATCTTTACCTTAATGATTAATAAATTCTCTTTACAAAATCAGTGTTCCTTATGATTCCAATGTCAAATCCAAAAAGACAATGAGTCTTAATTTATCAATTTAACATAATCACTTTTTTATAAATTACGCTTTTTTTTAACTGGCAAAATTAAATGGTTTGATGTAATCTAGATTTTTTGATCCAAAGAATTAATTCGACACTCATATTGAAATTAAGGAAATAAATTACTCTTAAAATCAAATGTTATTAGAAGAAATTACTATAGCACAATCTATAGGATCTATAACAATTATTCTACTGGTCATATATAGATTCGGGAATGTTTAAGATATAACTATTCTGTCCAGAACGATGGTGTTCTTAGACTACAATCAAATGTGATATCGAATAAATTCATAGAGTCAGATTATCATTAAAGTTATTGTAAAATTAAAATTAATTACAATACATATAAATTGCTAAGATTTCAGTTTCATTATTTGCAACCTAGTTAACTAATCACAAACTAGAAATAGTATGATCAATATAATTTTATTGTTATTTAAATATCATTATTAATTTTTAACTATTAGTTTGTAAGATTAGTAATCCAATATCTTAATTTGTGAGAATTGATTTAAGAAAACTCATAAAATGGAGAGAATTTTAAATTAATTAAGAATAATAGTATATATTAAATATGTAAAATTTAATTTATTAATTATTAATTAATAACATTTTAATAATAATAATCAATATTCAATATTTACAATTGACTTAATTTAAACAGTGTTGTATTATCTAACCATCTCAGATAGGCTAATAATTTTAGCTTCAGTATCTAGTATATCTTCTTAAATTTAAGTTTCTATTGAATCATCATATAGATGCTAAGTGTAAACTGGGATTTGTAGGTTCTTCGAATTTCCCAGGTGATTAATAGATTATATTGTAGAAGATTAATCCGTCATAGAAGATAGTAACATTTTAATAAATAAATCCTTTATGAAAGAGTAATCAGGCATTTCATAATGTTTGAGAGCATCAATATAAGAAACAAATTTCGAAAATTCTAGAGGGAATTTGATAGATAATTCCATAGAGTTAAAAAGAGAAGTTTTCATCTCTCCAATAAATTTTATATCCATATTCTTAAATCCCATAGAAGGTCTAAAAGACCATGGCAAATTACCTAGAGTAAATTTTAATGAATACAATTTCTCAAATAGACTAATACAAAGAATAAACTTTCTAAATCATCCTTATAACCTAATTATTAACCTTTATGGGATGCTCTGCTAGCAAAATTTAACGATCCAAAGAATACATTTTTTAAGAATTTTGAATTTCTTACCGATTGAGATAAGCCAAAGTCAATGAGTTAAATGAACCCAGGCTTTAGTATTTGATCTTTAGAATGTTTTTGCATTCCTTATGAGATCATTATATTTTCGGGTTTAATATCTAAATGTATTATGTTTTTTTTATGAACTTTTTCTAAAGTCTCAATTATACTTAATCCTATTGCCAATATGTTGGATAAAGATAATGGTTAAGATTTTACTAAATCTCGTAAACTACAATTTAGGAGTGGCATAATAAGAAAGCATCTAAATTTTATTATATTGTTCTTACTTATGGTCTGGGGTTATTCCATGGTTTATTATTTTTGGGACTCCTTCTATTTCTTGTAATTCTTTAAGGACTTTAATTTCATCTTGTATTTGACCTGATTTTGGGCGTTTTTCGATTTTAATTGCAAATAACTATTGGGTTAGATTATGCTCTGCCTTAAACACTTAATGTGCTGAACCTTATCCAATCTTTGAGATTACCTGATATTTAGAAGTTTGAAGATACATTAAGTAAACTATTTTTAATTATGGAATTTTAAAGGAACAAAGTTCTTATTGAAAATCAAAATGAAGGGGGATAAGTACTAATATATTTTATAGATCCTTATGTTATTAATCTGAATAACTGGAAGTTTTTTAAATTATTATATTCTTTATTACATTTGTATTTTGCATAATCTATTAGTTTTAAAGTGTCATAAGAAAGAGATGATTTACAATACTTTTATTTCTAAAATCTAAACTTATTTAACTCTTTAATTTACACTTGATTCTAAATGTTAATTGAAGTACCGAATTATTAAATAGGATTAGTCTTTTTATATATAAAAATACTAAAATAAGTTTAGTTGTATATGATTTATTTATTATAGCCTTCAGTTAAAATATATTTATATATAATTTGATTCTAATTATTGTAAAATTAGTTGAGTTTATAAATTCATATCGATAAGACAATTTTGAAATTGTATTCAATAGAGAATTATATAATTTGTTGCACCTTAAATAGAAAATAAATGACCAACAAATTTAATTTTTTTCCCAAATTTATCTATATAGTTTATAAACTATATACAATTATTTAAGCCTAATTAAGACGCAAATATAATATGATAATTTATCAATAATTAAAACATGATACAACAAAAATAGTTAGATTATGTAACTGATTTTTCATGTTCTTAATGCATAGGATAACTAATAAATACAATCCTATTAGATTAAAGCTTATTAATTGAAAAAAGATTATTGTGTGGAAAATATTGATTAAAATTAAAAAACTATTAAGATTGAGAAATCTTTGGAGATAACTGAGTAGAAAGTCAGAGAAAATTCAAGAAATGATTTAGACTTTGTTAAGTCTCAAATTATTAATCTACATAAACTATAAAGTAATGCATGTCAAAGGAGAGCCTATATAAATTCATAATTAGAATTAATAATATAAATTAGCTCTGATTGGATAAAAGAGTTGAAAACTTTTAATAACTAATATTAGATGCAGATTATGATCAAAGAACTTGATAATCTATTGAGTTATTAAAATAAAGAAACCGAAAGAGATTCAAAATAAACAATTACCCAGCTTCATCAAATCGCAGTATTTTTAAATTATCAAATGAGTATCTACCTAGAGTAATTTAGTTCCTTTTAAGAATATCAAGGTGTCAGCAAATTTTAGAAATGATGACTAATATTGATATAATCAGAGTATAGCATTCTATTTAGGAGTCTTTAAAAACAAAAATTTAACTATTTACATTTGAAATAATCAAATAGAACTCTATCAAACAACCTGAATATTGACAAGCCATAGCTATTAATTAAGATAACACCTAGTTTTAGTTGGATGTGAAAAAGAGATCAGAGTTTTTGAATCAATTTAGAATAATCTTGTTCAAATAGATATATTAAAAGGACATAATGACTCTATATTTACACTTGATTTTTTCAAGAAATAAAAGAATTCATTTATCTATGGATCTCAAGATGATTTCATAATGATATGGCTATATCAAAATGAATAGAAAAAATCTTGGTTATGTTCTAAATTGTTAGTAGGGCACACTTCCTCCATACTTTGCTTAATCTATAATTAGAAAGAAGATTTAATAATATCTGGGAGTGACAAAAAAAAAATAAAATTTTGGAGCTACAATGAAAATTGTGAAAATAACAATAAATAATTATGGTCTTGTTCCTAAACTATAAGAAAAAAGAGCAGATATGTTTATGCATTGTCTTTAAATGAAGACTAAACAAAATTAATCTCATGTGAACTTGATAAACTCATTCTCGTTTTGGAATTATTAATATTAATACTTATATTAATGGATAGTATTATAAGAAATAAATTGTTGAGAATGATGGATATCGTTTATGTTTTATAGAGAAATATATTTTTGCCCTTTCAACCTAGATCATACTCAAAAATGAATATTTATGAAATTACTAGTAATTCTGAAGGGCAATTTTTGAAAACTAAAGAAATAGATGTAAAGAAATATAGTCAAACTTGTGATAATCTTTTTCCTTCAAAATTTTCATTAAAAAATGTTTTTTATGATTTAGAATGGCAAAAATGTCAATTTAATAGATGTGGAAATTACTGTAATGGAAACATAGTAAGTGAAAGATAATTTATTTTAGAATAAGTTATTGAATTCGATGATAATTGTATTTATGGTACACTTAGCGATGATGGACAATATTTGCTTACCTGGGATTATTTCACAAAAGAAATATAAATTAGATTTATTCAATCAAATTAAAAGTTTAATATATATATTTAAATAACACATAAATATTTTATAATGAAAAACCTATTTCATAAACACTATTCTCTATAAATGATAGATATTATATTTAATAATTTGTATATATTCTAAAATGTTAATTCATAAGATAAATTATTAATGTTTGATAATATATCGATCTTATTATTGATTAACATTTATGCAAAGATATTAACAATTTAATTTATATATATGGATATACTTTCATATTTTATATCAATATAATTTATCGATTATATTTAAGTCTAAAATAGCGCTTCTGCTATGATAAGTCCCTTAATTAATTTTATCCTATTTTTTTTACTTTAAAGAGCTTAGATAATATTAAGATTATAATTCACATAAAAGGATTTGTTTTTAAATATTTTTTTCAAAAATAAAAAAATTGTATTTTATTATTAAAACTTATTCATTTCATTATTAATGAGCAACCGATGGAAAATATTTTCTTATTTTAAATTAATTTTACTCATCCCATGTGATTAAATATTCTCCATCATTGCTGACAACTCCATATATAAGATTATTTTTAAATTAAATTGAATATTCAATTTATAGATCTCCAGCCATATTCTTCTTGATAATATGGATATAATTATCATATTTATTAATGAGAATTTATTTCTTCATTATAAACACGGAAGGGAAATACCACATATTTTCAGTTCTACCATATTTCAAATCAATAATTTTAATTTACTTATATCCTTCACCATTATTAGATTTATATACTTCCATAAATTAATCATTATTTGGTTGATAAACGAATTAATTAATATCTATAAAAGTTAATTTATATCCAGGTTTTACTCTTATGTTTTAAATTACTTTCCAATCGTTGTTGGGCTGTTTATTCATCACCAATATGGTTCCATCATTATCACAAGATATTAATTAATTTTAGTTTTCATTTAAACTAAGACTCAAAACCCAACTTTTATGTTCATTTATTATTTTTTTGATTTTCCATACTTTTTCAAAATTCCAAAAAATTATGGACTTATCATGGCTGCACGAAATAATTAGATCCTCTTAAGAATTCATGATGATTTGATTAATTATATGAGTATGTTCTTTAGCTTATTATTACATCTACCATTTATTGTATTAAACTTGTTTCCAAAAAAACATTGATCCAAAAATATCTCCTGATATAAATTCATTAGAATTTTTCATAAAGTATAAAGCACTAACATTGTTATTATGACCATTTAAAGTTTGTAGACAATTTATATTTCCATTATCAAATTCA